CCCCCCCCCCCCCCCCCCTTTTCTCCCTCCTCGCTCTATCATTGCTTGATTCCCCTACACCTTAATTCTTTTTTTGTCGGTCCTTTCTTTTCTTTGTTGTATTGCCTCTCCAAAGTAGGATGCACCGGACTTGCGGGTTTCTTCGTCTGTTCGTGGTTCAAAACACCCCTTATTTCTTAAATCGAACTTGCCCTTTATTAAAAGGAAATTTTTGCGTCTGCCTTGCGCCTTTCTTCATGTATAGACCACTGGACATCGGCTTCGTTTTTCCAATTTTACATATAAATATACCGGACACAGCGTGCTACTCTCCATTTCTTTCCCCATCCCTTGAGGGCATAACCTAGCGTTAAACACTATCGCTTTTCTTTGAATCCTTTTGTACTTGTATAAGAGCGGATGTTGGCATTCGTCGCTTAATGATAACAGATTTTTACCGGCATCTCACACATTTGCTTCCTTTTTACGCTCGCCTCTTTCCTTCTTACTTTCTTTCATTTTTTTCTTCTTTTTGATCATCATTGGTTCGGCATGTTCTCGCACGTCAAGATATACCTTTCTTCGTATGTAATAAAGTTCTTTACTTTGCGCTCCTCAGCTTCAGCTTCTTCGATTTTCTATCTGTTTTGTGTTTTTGGTTCTTTCTTTAGTTTATACGCATATTCCACATACCTTCATACAATGGATGCTATATTTACGCTGTGAGCTAATCCTCGATCAGATCTTGACAACTAGATGGAGATGTCAGCGGCCATAGGTGGGTAGTTTTCCTGCGTTCAACGGAGAAACGGCCCTTCTATTGTAAAAGAAAAAAAAAGTAAAAGCCAAGCCAGGCTTAAATTAACCATTAAGGTAAAGAAGAAGAAAAGGGGAAAATGAGCTCTGGCAATGAAGTCAAGCAAATAAATTTTCACCCATCAATACCACCCCAGCCTTCTTGCTCGTCATCCTCCTCTTCCTCTTCCTCTTCGTCCCGCTTCCTCTCCCTAACCCCCCATTCTACCAATCTCTCATCATCCAAAACCTCTCCAGCCCGCTTCCTTACCATCTTCGATATGCTCTTCCCATGCAGCCCAACAATCGGACGAAGGAGTAACTCCATCGGCACACCCTCTTTCAGCTGCTTCCTCTTCTTCTTCATCTGATTCTCTTTAGTATTCTCACCATTATTCAACGTCGAGTTCCCCGCCTCTGCATTAACATTACCATCCTCCATCGATCTTTCCCCATTCCCGCCCTCACCCTCGACCTCGACCAAAGCAACCTTCTCAATCTCATCAAGCCAGATGTCCAATAAATGGTACCGCAGCCCATCGGGTCCTTTATGCATCCGCACAGCAGGGTCTTCGTTGGTATCGTCACTAGCCGGATCGAAATTTAGTGGACACAGCGGCCCTTCTTCCAGCATATCAAGGTAGGTTCCTAGTTCATTCCAGACCTCCAATTCTTCTCCAGGTTGAGGTTCAGTTTCTTCAACTTCACCCCTCTTTCGCTTCCCCAGACCTCCTTTCTCCTTATCAACCCTTTTTCCCTTCCCCTTCCCCTTCTGCTTCCGCGTCGACGACAACAACAACAGCCCCTTCTTCAGCAGAACATCAAACGCAACGCCCACATAGCACCGTATCAGGTATAGATATTTATCCAGACGCAGTCGATCCAGGGAGTGGAAGTCGCGCGACATGGTTATCCAGAATGCGCGCAGGAAAGATTGAAGACATTGTTCAGGGAGGGAGGGCACGAGGGTGTAGGACAGGGAGCGGGCAAGGGACTGTTGGGTTAGAGGGCGGTCGGAGTGGTAGAAGCCTGTTTGAAATCGATTTATATCCGGTTAGAAAATGGGGATTGGCAGGTTTCTTGGAATTTTTCGTTCCCTTTTTTTTTAAAATTATTTTGTGTTGGGGAGCGAGGGCGGGTGAGTGGGGATTAAGCGTACAGAAAAATAGCCCTTTCCATATTTTCAATAGCTCGACAAGTTGTAAGTCTCTCCGGCTTCGGATGAAGAGCGTTAGGGATTCGAGGGCCTTGTCGCGGGTTCGTTTGTCTGCAGAATGAGTTGAGACAAATCGTTAGCCTTCTCTTTTCTTTTCTTTTTTTTTTTTTTTGATCCCTTCTTTCAGTAGTATTCATTTATGCAGTTTGAGACAAACTTGAGCTTATATATCACGAAGACGCAATAAAAAACTTCATAAGTAAGGTAGCTCGTCAAGTCAACATACCGCTGGAAGCTAACTCCCGTACGAACGGGGTTTGCGTTATGTTATCCATCTCGATAGATATGGACGTGCAAAAAAGGAGAAAAAAGAAATATGCGCAAAAAAAACACCACAGTGTCACTCGCTCTTCTTATAACCGCAACAGGGTATATGAATAAAATATATCGGAATGAGAACAATAGAGGGAAAATGGGCCGCGCCCGTCGCACAATGGACTGACGATATACCTCGGTAGGGTGAAGGCGGTATTACTACTTTTGTGCTTGCAGTATTCTGGTAGATTCCTTTGAGGAGGGAATCAGGATAGCGAACTTAATATCAATTGAAGCAAGGGATTCAATATTCCTCTGAAATCGAGCGCTGTAGTATCATCGACCTCCGCCTCGTCGATGGATATATATATATTTTTTTAAATTTTGATATGCGGTGTTTGCTTTGTTTGCTTCAGCAGCTTTCAATAGTAGTACTAATCTTCAAAGGCCCCGAGTTTCCGACATCGAAATCGCCATCAAAATAAAAGATGGAGCATTCAAATTTGATAACATGAACGAAAAGCAGAAGTAAAATATGAAAATAATCAAAGAGAAAGAAAAATACATATATATGTATTGGTGTGAAAAAAAAAGTAAACCCACTTAATGAAGGTCTCACTGGGATTCGAACCCAGGTTACCGGAAGTTTTGATATGTGAACGTCAAAATCCGGTGTCATAACCACTAGACCATGAAACCGCCTGAACAGTTGCTGGACGCTAGGCTGATGGATTTAAATATCGATGTGGTAGTGGTTATAAAATATTGTTCAAATAAATATCATGACAGTAACTACCATACTTTTCAATAAAATAAAATAATTAGAAAGACCAAAAAGGGTGTATGGAACTCCTTAAGCTGTACCGAAAGAAAAGACAAATCGGATTGACTTCGTTGACCTTCAGATTTAGCAGATATGCAGGAACAGGCCAAGAATCACATAAGCTACATGTAACATGCATTGGGCAAGGACCAGGTTGTATATAAGAACATTACTGGGTGTGTCAGGCTGGTTGTGAGGGAGGCAACGATGGGTGCGCAGGCGGATTCAACAAGGACGGTGCACTGAGCAAGACATGCTAGTCGGAGAAGTTATGATTGAGGGGGTTAGGGAGGCAAATGGGAGTTAGAAAAAGAATTGACACGTGAACGAACCCGGGAAATACCAGGATTACAGCGGATATCGTGCATAACAAATAATAAGAGCGAATAATCAAAGCATGGGAAATCATTCTTTTGAAACCAGGGGGGTATTGTGCAAGGCTATACTAGATAGGGCAAAATGTGAGGTGAAGAGGGCAAAAAACCATGGGAATAGACATTATTATATGTCGAATATGGTGAATTACTATGGCCATATCGCAAATTGTAGAAAAGAAAAGGGAAAAGGGGAATGGGGAGGGAATCCAAAACACCGTGCAAAAAGGATGGGAAATTGGCTATTGAAGGGAGTGAAGCTAGAGCGAAAAGGAGAAATTTGAACGAAAAGAAAAACCCGTACATAAGCCATCAGAGATGAAGAAAAAAAGATTCCAGCAACAGATCATATCCTCGCGTTAAATATAACTCCAGTTGCCTGCTTGAATATATAAAGAAAAAGAAAAATGCCGCGAAGACATATGAAGAATAAACGAAGTATGGCGATATATGGTTAAGATGAGGATGATACGGATCGCAGTCTTCGTTCGTAATGCTGGTGAAATAATGTTTTATGTGTGTAGGGTCGTAGCGATGTGGTATATTTTTTTGGCAACATATGAAATGAAATGTCAGCTCTGCGAGGCTGTAACAACCAGAGCATTTAAGACATGGCCTTCCTTCCAGCCCTGAGATAATAGGCTCTCGTGTTCTTTGAGAATCTTGCCGAGATATGCAATTCGGACACGGTGTTTGCCGGTAATCTGTGCATAAGCAAGTGAGGGCTAATGTTAGCCGAGAGGGCAAAGAGAAATGAGTGTAGTATAAAATACTACCAAGCGTTTCAAAAAGAAAAGCAAATAGAAAGGAAAAAAATATTATAAAAGGCAAAGTTTGGTGCATAAAATGGGACCAGAGAATACATACCCGAGCCTCAGCCTGGATTCTGCGTGCCAACGCACCCACCGTTTGATTCTTCCCAATCATAATCGTCAAGTCTGGACCTCCTCGGTCACTTAACCTTGCAGAAATTTTGATAAGGTCTCTTTCACTAACTTTCCCCTTTTCCTCGCGCCGCCTCTCAATATCATCTACCGTGTCATCGTCATCCGAATCTACATCAACAGCGAGCTTATTATGTTCAACATCTTCCTCCCCAAGCTCCGCGGCCGTAGCACATATGGTATTGGTATCATTCACATCCGCGGACTCCTGGACGACATTCACCGGGTCCATGGCAATATACTCTGGAATCCGGTATAGAACACCGCTTTCATCGTAACAGCCATCACACAGGTCACCTGTCGGAACGGTAATCCCTGCTGCATCCAAAATGCCTTGCGCAGTGGCGACGTCTCCAGCGCGCACAAGGGAGGTAGCCGTTGACAGAGCAGCCCATACTTCAGCCCTTCCAGTTACGCGAGTGTCGAAAAACAGTTCCCGTTCGCGGGTGAGTTGCTCTCGGGTCCATTCTCGGCGGGTGCTTTGCCATACATGTGGATGTACTGCTTGGTTATAGTGAACGTCCAGTGGGACTCCAGCTAGGGCTCGTCGATGGCGACCCGATCGTGAAGTTGTGGAGCGATTGTGATGGCTCTGCGAAGTTTCGTCGGTGGTGGTGCGATTGAGGATGGGTTGTGTAGGGCTGGTGGGAGTGGGGGAAGGGTCAGACTCCCCTATCTCAACACATTAGTCTGAGATGTCTTGAACTTGTATTTGAGGTGAAGATGGTTCTAACCTCGAGAGGAAGAGGAAAAGCAGCAGCCCTATATAACAAACACAGAAGTTAACGGTTAGCCACTTCTTATACCAGATTCATCTGTGAAATCGAGAGAAGTCGCAGCGGTAATAATAGGTTGATATTCCGCAGCATCAGGCTGTGGGCTGGGGGACAGAGAGCTAGGCAGAAGAGGAATACCGAGATGATTTAAAATACAATAAAAGTATGAAAAGAAATTAAAAAATTAAAAACAGAAAGAAGGTTAAGCAGGAAGTTCTCAGAGGGGGTGAAGTAGCAAAAAATCAAGCTCCTACTAGGAGAGGCCGCTCGAGAAGCCATCACATGGGATAGAAGCTTGCGCGAAAGCTTCAGGAACTAGTACTTACCATTGTGCATGGTGCACAGCGATGCACAGGCTGTATGAAGCCAATATCCCCAAGAGACCGGTTTCAAAACAGAAGAAGGCCAAACGGAGAGAAAGGGGGAGGGAGGGGAAGGGAAATGCGAGGGCAAAGGTGAAGATGATGGTTGGAGTCGGCGCTGGAGAAGAGCACGAGGGTGACAAAAAGTGGAGGTTAGGCAGACTAACTTTAGCGCAGCTGGTGCTAAATAAGTTAATTGCGTCAACAACAAGAAACAAGCCGGCAAAACTCCTGGTCAAGGAGACGTTAACCACTTGTCCTACCCAGCGCTCCGTTTTTTGTGTTTTATCCCGCAAGGTCGGAGAGGCCAGCAGCGCCTCAGGGCAAATAAATCTAGAATGGCTTGATTGGCGTAATTAAAACCGACCCAAAATACTCCGTCCCCCGTACATAGTAGCTTAATATTCTCAATGTATACGGAGTATATCCTTTTTAATTACGGCGTACAAGCATGCAAAAAACAACATATTGAACTTGGAGGAAATTATAGCAATTAAAATTGCTCTCCAATTCCTATCCACACAAGGGGCACTAAGCAAAAAGAGAACAGCAATGCCATTCCAGCCTGGTCGAATACGTAGCAAATCAAAATGGTAAAGCATGGATAGCAAAACGTAGCTGTCCCTTAGCAGATTGCGTAGGCTGGCCGGCCCGAGTTAAAGTTAGTTTCAGCTACTTTTGATTGGTGGTGTATGGAGTAAATATCTATGGAGTGGAGCATCGATGGCAATCTTACTGGGTGTGAAAAACATCTGGCACCTGCCAATATACCCAGTGGCACTGGAAGACCTTTTTTTATGTATTACAAAAGATTAAATTTGACACAGCAGAAGTTTCCTTAGTGCTATATATAGAAACTACGTGTACATATGGAGTACGGAGTACAGTAGAACAGTTAACACTGAAGATTTGTCCCCACACCGCCTGAAACGGGTTTCCAACAGTTAAGTTCCTACCGCACTCAGCTAAACCATATGTGGGCAAGCGATGACGGGGTTGGGGCCTGGAGCTTGGGATTTGCAACTGCTCTTCGCCCGTAGGGGCAAAGCTGTTTTTCATGACCGCGCGACATCTTCAATCAATTGGGAATGATATATATACTCCAGATTAGCAGTCCGAACCTTCATTCGACACATAAAGTAACTTTTAAATGTCGCTAGCCTAAGAAAAAACTAACTTGGCCGTTGATGCAATTTATATATTTGAACCAAAAAGGCTGAGAGCGTGGGAGGGAGTGAGGGATAGATATCGCAGTACTGAGTAAATAAAAAAAGGTAAAAAAAAGGGTTAAAAAAAAGAAAAAAACCCCAAAGGAGTAGGAAAGCAAAGGGAAATCACATTTTTCTTCTCTTTCCTCGCCGTCGAATACTCTTTTTTATGGCTCTACTTTTTTAGTGGCAAGGGGGGAAGTGTAAGGATAACGAAGAGGGGGTATGCCGAGCAGAAAACGAAATATAAAGTATAAATAAATCTTCAATCAACCATCTCCTCATCGCCGTCCTCATCTTCCTCATCATCACTACCAAATATGGCTTTGAATACCGCATCGCCAGGTCTCTCCCCTTCCAGCGCCTCGTTTCTCCCGGGATCAACAATGACTTCCTTCCTTTCCAACGGACGTTGCTCGACCTGCTGCTGCTGCTGCTGCTGTTCACCCTCAGCTCCTGCTGCACTGGATTCTCCTATCCCTGCACCAGTACCCGCCTCCATAAGAATCCGATTCACCGCCTCCTTCGATAATATGTCTAACTTGGACCCGGATGGCGCGGTGGGTGTGCCGCCAGGAACCCCATGGCTATGGCCACCGGGCAAATCACCAGTGTCGACAGCGATGTTGGATGGGGGCCGGACATTGAAGCGTTTACAGAGAAGTCTGAAAGGGGAGAAAGGCACGGATGATCGCGTCAGGGGCCCGTACATGCCGATCTTGGCGGCTGCCTCAGCGGGATCTTGAGGTTTCGGGTCCGGTCTGCGGAGTAGCGGCTCGTGCTGCGAATTATCTGCTCCCGTTCCCGTCGTAGGATGCGGTTGGGAAGTAGACGAAGAATCGGAAGAGGAGGTGAAACGGGATGCCATCAAGCCCGATATCGGCTTGAAGACTTGAGCGGCACGTGCAAACTCTTGCATCTCTGTAATCCAGTTATCAGTCGTTGCGTCGGCGGCGCGATCGGGGAGTTTATCCCTGAGGCCCGCACGGACTTCGAGGAATGAACGGTATCGCGATCGCTTAGCTTCGTCTTCTGCGTATGGCATCCAGCCACTGATACCACGATTGAGGGCTTGTGTAGCGACCACCTTGTCCAATTTTGGCACGAGGTCCCATAGATCTTTCTGTTTTTGAGAGTCTGTGGCTTCGAAACCTTCCGGTCCCTTTTCCCCCAGGGCTGGAGGTAGGTCAGTGCGTCCGGTAGCTTTAGCAA